CAAGGAAGTGATCTCAAGAGTGGCTTTTGCCACACTGTGCAAATACAGCCTCAGTATGTTACTATGCAAGCAACATTCATTCCACACAGCAGTAAAAAGACCAACTCCACAGATTTCAATGATTCAACTCTAACTAGCATCTCCCTGGAAGGTGGCCGCAAGAGTTGTTTTGATTAAGGAAGGATTAAATACAGCATGCAATTAAAGCATACAAGACATTTGCTGCACACCAGCATTATTTCTGTCCCATGTTTCTTCTCCCTAAAGAATGAATAAATCTCAGAAGAAATTTTTGTACTACATGAATTAACATTTATTTGGATAGCCAAATAATTATTTGGATAACTATTATTTGGATAACTGGCTCTGAATAACACATTAATTTAATTCTCTCAAGGATAAAATAAGGCACATGACGTGCTATGTATATATTCCCAGAATCTCAGGACATCTGTTAGACATATCTGGCATAATTAAAATCTTACTTATTTAAGAGAGGGTACTGCTAAGCAACTTTCACAATTAATATATGGAATGTATATGGCACATGGAGAGATTACTTTCACGAGTTCCAGCACTACATTTATAAAAAGTAGGATTTCCAAGGCCATTTTTCTCTTTAAAGCACAGAGTTGGCAAGAGCTGAAGTTGGTTCAGGATTTCCAGTATTGTAAACCTAACCATTAAAGGTGAAAATGCATTATCCTTTTGGTCCTCATTTCCAGATTTTCACAATGACTATTACATTCACCGTTAAACTCAGCGTAGCATGCATGCTTCAGTTAGACAAGCGCACAAGAACTCTTAATTAAACGGTTTCATTTTTGCCACAAAAGGAGCTAGATTGTAATGGCATCTTTTGTCCACTGGTTAATGAAGTATGAAATATTGTTTAAATAATTAGCAACACTGCTGGGAGAGAATGCAAGTAATTAGCATAGCTTGACACCCAAAGCTGCTCTTCAAGAGGCACCAGTTGCCATGTGGTTAGGATGTGGGAGACACAGTTTTTGACAATTTCTGAAGACAAATGCACTATTTAAATGTGTGGGGTGGTTTAAAGGGGATTGATTACATTTTCAGAAACTTACTCCACACTACACAACACAATCCTAAGCATTTTTTTACTCAGAAGTAGTTTGCCGTGCATGCAATAGGGTTTACTGTAATAACTAAATTCAAGACTGCAATCACAAACTATCACATGGGGTTTTTCCCCATTAGTTGCTGCTACATTAACACTTGCATTTTCTTAAGTAATAACTGTAAGCGAAACCAACCATTGCAGTCAATATATATATAAAAAATACTGTTGAAAATGACTTCTAAATTGGCTTAAAATTAAAATAATGGTACTTTCTACTTTAATGTCACCCCAGCGAGGCACAAACAAACACAACAACATTTGATAACTTGTACGCAGGTAGCCATCTCTAAACAGCACACAGAAGGCAATTTCTAGAGGGTAGCCATGTTAAGATCAAGCTTAAACAAAATGTTATTCACAAAATTAACAATTGCTTGCATGGCTTTTAAAAATACATAGCGGGAATGGGGCCCCTGATGGGAATCAGAATCCTAGCTATGGTTTGGGGCTCAATTTCCACCTCCTGCGATCCTGACCTGAATTGATCTCTCTATGTCTGCTATTTGCATGGGGTGGGGGTGGGGTGGGGAGATTTCTACTCATACCAATGGAAACTACTATTCCAATGAAAGTATGATTCCTCTATCTATATATGGCCCACAGCAGGAGATGAAGGTTTCAACACCACACCCTTCCTAACAACAAAATCCACAAAAGGTTGCGCTATAATACATCTGATAATCTTCAACATGCTACAAGTCTCCATAACATAAAAGATAATTGTTATAAGAGAAGCCATGAGTACTCATATTCATGATGTTGCTAAGGCGACTTTAAGATCATGTCACATCATTGTATTTTCAATATTATTTTAGGCGGTATTTTAACACTAACTATGGTTAGAATGGAACTATTAATGTATAATCTAGAAAGCAACGGTCACAGGTGCATTCTGAAACGAGTAGCAGACATATTCTGAATTACACCAGTAAATATTTAAGATGCTATTGTTAAAAATATGCTGTTGCTTCTTTTAAAAACCGAAATGTTCAGAATGAAATGTGTACAGAGAGATATGTGCTGGTATCTCTAATATGTCTGTCTGAGCCAGTAGGTCCAGAACACATGGTGGAAAGGCCACGGAATTCTGTGCATGAAATCAATGGGATCATTTAAGGCAGTGGTTCTCAACCTGTGGGTCCCCAGATGTTGTTGGACTACAACTCCCATCATCCCTGAGCTCTGGCCTTGCTAGATAGGGGTGATGGGAGTTGTAGTTCAACAACATCTGGGGACCCACAGGTTGAGAAAGGCTGATTTAATGGGTTATGGGTAGGCTGCGCAGCTTTGAATTGAAATGGCGGTCCTACTTCAATATTACCTTCTCTTCAACATGACTATATTTATTCAAATGCATTTAATCTCTCTCTCTGTCCATAAAAGAATGACTAGAGTCGCTAGCAGAAAACAATGAAACACACCAAGATCAATACACAATGTACCAAAACCTCACCCAGCCATAAAAGTAGCACAATGGAGCAGCTTCAAACACATGCAATAAAAGATCAAAGTAGCGAGAACTATGCAGTTGTTCCCATTGAGTTTGCACAGAACAAGCCATAGGACCACACCATAAACGGAAGCAAGTCTTGCTATTCTCTAAAGCGGGTAAGGGAACCTTTGGGCCTCTAAATGTCGCTCGTGTACAACTCTAATCACCCTGAAGACCATCATCCATTGTGGGCTGGGGCTGATGGGTGTTGGAGCCCAACATCACCTTGAGGGCTACAAGATTCCCATCTTTACTCTAAAGGTTAAGTGTGGAAGGCATTTTCCAAAAGAAAACATAAACAATAACTTTGCAGTTCAAAGCAAGTGGAGATTAAATAAGTGCGTATACACATTTTGCGAATAAGTATTAAAACAGCTTTCCCTCTCCCAAGGAAATTTTGACGACATCACATTTTTAATGTGATGCAGCAGATGACTTCTTGGTAAAATTGCTATATTAACAAAAATGAAGCAATATTTTTGAGGTAGTATCTTTCAATAAACCCAATTGTTTGCCAGAAAACCAAACCTCTGTTAGACATAAACAGAGTTCCAAAATATAGTACTCTCTCCTTTGCTTTCAACTCATGAGCTGTCTGTTGTAATTTTCTATAAGCAATTTCTCTAAAGGAATCTGTGAGGGGGCTTTTGCTTCTCCCATCTCCTTCCTCTAGTCTACTGCTCTACATCCTTTGCGGCAGCTAAAAGAACATGGCTTACACAAATACGACACACCTCTCTCTCCATAGCTGCTATCTGGGTTCCTTAAATCAGCCCCATGCTAAATCTGGAGAAACAGAATACTAAGGGCATTTTAGAAGAGAGCCCAAAGAATATCAGGCAGCCTGGTCAGGTGATATAAGATGCAATTTGCAGTATAGATGTATAGAGTCCATAAAAATGCTTTTTCAGAAATCGCTTTTATGTGTTATGCATGTGTGACTGAAAGCCGGTAGCACAAATTTGTAAGTCATTTTGTCTGATGAGAAGAATATGTGCCTTCCTTGAAGACAGTACATACAAAAATGCTTTTTTGTGTGTGTAACAGAGAAAAACAATGGGATTAAACACAATTCTTCATTTAGGCTGAAAATTCTAAATAAACTTGCTACAGAATAAGCCACACTGTACACACTGGGACTTGCTTCCAAGTACACATACACAGGAATGTCTAAAGATCTAACAGTTATTTTAACAATCTTGTGCTCATGGTTGTGATCCTGAGGCTTTGAAGTGTGCACAAAGTTCTGCAAAATCTTGTTCTCTCATGCAACAAATGGAGCTCCTGCAGATCTGGAGCTCCAGGGTATGCCAAACACATCCCATCATATCCCTGTACACAATCCATGCAGGAAAATTGTTACTGGAAGAAGTTGAGATATATGCATAAATATACTGATTTTTCTGCATAGGCTTAGCCGTTTCCTAATGCAAAACCCAAGTCTATTTCACATTCAAAATCTGCTTCCAGTTCAAAAATATATATTTTGCACAGTGACCAGTGCCTGCAGGTGTTCGCGCACGAGTTTAATATATGAATTGTAAATGACACGCTTGCATATACCAGCAACACAACAAACGAGGTGAGAATATATTGTTTCAGGACGCCACACTCGTTAGTGTAAACAAATAAAGCATTAAGATAAAACTAACCTTTAATTTGTCATAGCGTTCACTGAGAGCTGCCACCTGGTGATCACGATGCCTCCCAACCAGTTTACACAAGGCACAGATTAACTGGTCATCAGTCACACAATACATGTTAACTTTCTCGTCCTCGTGCTCCAGACACATTAATCCTCTGATATGAGAGTCGGGAATAGGTTCAATCAAACGGTGGCCAGTAAATGGCTTCTTGTTTGGGTGAGTTGCTTTTAAGCACTCCTCACAGTAGGAAACCTCACACGTTACACATGTCTTTACTGCTTCCTGAGCAGGATCCTGGTCACAGAACTGGCAGAGAACTTTTTCACTGGAGGACATGCTGTTGCTATCGAAAGCTCGCTCTCGGCGAGTTTCACTTGGAGAATTGGGCCCGCTCACCGAAGCTTTCTGAAACCTGTCGATGATATTCTGCAGCGTGACGTTGCGCTTGAGTCCGTCTAGACCACGTTGATTAAGGGTGATGACATAACGACAAGTAGGGCACTGGAAGGCGGTGATAGATTCCACTGATTCGTTGGTGGCACAGTGGGAGACCAAGATGCGATGCGCACAATTGAAGCAGAGGCTGTGAGCGCAAGGCAGCAGCAGCGGATCCTCAAACAGCTCCAGACAGATAGGGCAGGTCAGTTCCGACTCCAGTGTTTCCATCTTCAGGCAAAGCTCTCCTGTGTCATCAGCAAAATCCAGGGAAGCTGATCAGCTATCTGAAAGCACAACATAAAATTCGATTAGGCGAGACAGAGCAGAGGGGTCAGCCATGGGGGGTTGTCAACTTTCACCACTTTCCTGACCACCTCTCCAGACTGGAACGCTACAAAACGTTTGGAATCTGCCTATGCGCCAGCAATCAAGGTACTTAAAATTCTATTTCCCTTTTGTGCTTCCCTCATCCTCAAGTGTTGTTGTTTTTTTTTTAACTATCCATTTTCTATCTCTCTCCAGAAGAGACAAAGAGCAAGAGCAGATGTTTGGAATGCATTCATATTAGCATTACTTAAAAACAAACAAACCAGTAACCGTGTTTTAAAATACACATATCCATCACAATGCTGTTGCAAAAGCTTTTCACAGTTACACTATATAATGAGTTACCATGTCTTAATGTGTGTTAACTTTTAAGATCAACCGTGGCAGCAGAGAACATCTGATTTATTGCATAGAGCACCCAAATTTCCTTGCTGTTTCTCAACATTAACACAATCTCATTTTGAGGATTCCAGGTTTTGCTTACATTTACAATAGAGCACTTGGACATATGCAGTGTGTGTGTGTGTATATATGTATGTATGTATTGTATGTGTCTAACTATATGAAAAGTTATCTGTGATTAAATGAACAGCAAATACATAAATATATACAAATTATAAGAGCAAATGCAGTGTAAAATACCTCAAAGTCATATGCAGTGAGGTGTGTATATGCATATGCTGTTCAACAGCACAGATCAGAAAAGAAAGAAAAATATTTAGAACAGGAAGTGGTGCTTCATTGCTACTTGTCAAAAATTTGGTGGGGGTGACACAGTATTTGCTGAATTGAGGATGGATGGAATTAACACATCCTGTTCTCTCTTTTTGTTTTTATTATAATATGTGAAGGTGTCAGGCATTTCTGTTGTTTTAAGCCAAGAGGGTCAAAAGCTGTTCTACTGTACAAATATTCGTGTTAATAGCCTTGGAGCTTAGCTGGAAAGGCAGCACACAATTCGACGATGACTTTTTTCCAGCGTGGGATTCAAGAACAGTCAGCAGCTCCCCCCTCCTCCCCCGCCCAAAGAAATCAACCCTAAAAATGACCGAAACTTCATTTTGTTTCCTCTTTCACTAATCATGTTGCATGGAATGATTTTGAAAGAGTCGCTCTACGTGGCGCTCCTTCCCTCAGCTCTTGTCAAGGCCCTATCACTGTTATAAGCAGACAGGTCAGTGAAGCAGAAGCAAAAGCTATGCTTCACACTCACCGAAACGTACCTCTTCACAGTACAATCTATTTAAGCTTTGTTGCTCATAACCGAGGACAGCTTCAGATGGCCCAGCTGCAGACCCTGCACACTGTAAAGTCGTTGTTCCGTTGTATTAACTCTCTGCCTCCCCTCTCTTTCACCTCCCCGCCTGCCCCCCAAATTCACATAGAAATCTTGGTTCATTAAGGGTGAATGGAGCCTTATGCTCATTAGCAAGCTTGGGAACCAAATCTCTTTGAACCTTCTTCCATTTCCCCACAATTAAACCAGGGGCTGCAGTTACGACGACAGGAAGGCGATGTATAACCTCAGCCCAAACCATAATAGCACAGAAAAGTTCAACAAATGGAGGTGAAGTTCAAGTCAACCTCTAATTCTTATTCATACTTGCTTTGTGGCGAGGGGAGAAAAACATTTGTCCCACAGAGACGGAGAACAATGTACCATTTGGTTTCACACTTATTTGCCAAAAATCTGTGGAACTTTCAGAACTTGCCAACCCAATCACAAATAAGAGTTTGCTTGTTCCCCCTCCCCTCCCAGCATCTACTATATAATAGGATAACTGAAAATGGATTAGATCACCGTTAACACAGTGATTTTGCAGGCACCTCTGGTGGCACCTCTGGTAATGGAAGAGGAAGGGTGACAGTTTTTGCTGATTCAAGCCCCATGTATCCCCAGTGGAAGTTGGCATTGGAGGTTGCAGGGGGAATGGACAAAAATGGCCTCTCTTCTGTCCATCCGTTGGATCAAAAACCTTCCTTCCATAAGTGCAAGGCCACCAATTGGAATCCACCACCAACATGGTATGTAGTAGGGTAAACATTGTTCTCAGTTGCCTAAAAGGAGTCCATGGCATGATGTCCCCTCTCAGCAACCAAGATATTTGTAAATTGTTTGAAGTTTGGTGTGATAAGAGATCACCAAACACTGCCAACAAAGCCTACAAAGGTACACAAGAATAGAAAGCAATGTTCACCTGGCTCTTCCCTAAGGAAGGATCACACTTTAGGTTTCAGCTGAGAAACTGCCACTATCCATTTGCTTTAGAGACAAATACTGAGGGCAAAGGACAGAGCATCACATTCATGGGCTTTTTTCCCTCTTAAAAGGTGCATTTTTGTGATAGAAAGAAGTTCTTACAGGAAGTCAGACAAATTTCGGTTGACACGCCATTACAGAAAATAGTATTACACATTATTCTGAGCCGGTGATTTTAAAACTCCAGTTCAGACTAGAATGTTTGGTGTGAATAAAACCAGCAGAACAAGCAATCTACAAATACAACCAGGGTTAAGGATCCGTGTCTTAAGACACACATGCCAAGAACCAATCTTTATCTAATCCCTTTACCCATTTTGCTTAAAGACAAAACGTGTATGGAATTCAGAAAATAACTGAAAGACAGGAACGACCAATAGGAACAACCTCATTATCAGTAGGTAACATCATCAGGCAAATGCCAAGGCCCTGGCAGCCCCCCCCCCCCCATGACTTAGAATGTCTACAATTAAATTATTTCCCACAATGCCATGGGACAATGGAAACATTGTGGGAAATGATAAATGACGGCTTCAAGTCACTTGGTGCTTACTTCAGTACTTCTGCTGGTTTCCCTATCCACCAGATAAACCAGCTGGGTCTATCAACATAGCAGAGGGCCACTGACAGCAACACAGAGAAGTCTCCCTTGCTAGGAGAGGATCTGTAATTACGTATTGCCTCGTGGCATCAAGTAACAGAATGTTTTCATGATTTCATTCCTACCCTAGTGCACTTAATGTGCACCATTTATCGGAAGAGCACTGCTGATATAGCTCAGTATGAGACTTTTAATATCAGGGTTGGGGGGCTTGAGCCCCACATTGGGCAAAAAGATTCCTGCATTGCAGGGGGTTGGACTAGATAGATATACCCTCATGGTCCCATCCAACTCTACAATTCTATGATTATGCTTCTATGACTTAAGAAATTAGTAGCACAGCGGGTGGCACTGTGGCCTAAACCACTGAGCCTAGGGCTTGCCAATTGGAAGGTCCGTGGTTCGAATCCTCGCGACGGGGTGAGCTCCTGTTGCTCGGTCCCAGCTCCTGCCAACCTAGCAGTTCGAAAGCATGCCAAAAAGTGCAAGTAGATAAATAGGTACCGCTCCAGCGGCAAGGTAAACAGTGTTTCCGTGCACTGCTATGGTTTTGCCAGATGCTGGCCACATGACCCGGAAAAACTGTCTGCAGACAAACATTGGCTCCCTCGGCCAGTAAAGCGAGATGAGCACTGCAACCCCAGAGTCGTCCACGACTGGACTTAACTGTCAGGGGTCCTTTACCTTTTAGCACATTATGGTAACAAATGTCAATCCTTCCATTATCACTACCCATGGGTGGGGTATAAATAAAATGATGATGATGATGATGATGATGATGATGATGATGCAGGAAAACAACTTTCTCCTATAAAGGAAAGGCTGCAATCCAGAAACCATTAAGGTGGAACCCAGTCAATTTTTCAACATATTTTTGATGAAGTCATTCGAAGAATGTAGTGAGTAAACCAGTGTGAAGAGGAACTAAGAAAACCATGGAACAGTACTGTATTTAGCAGAATGAACCCAAGTCAAAAGATACAGCTCAAACGGGGAAAACTAACTGAAATCAAGTGCTACCTTGTTCAAGCATAAAATGGATTTTTAAGCATTTCCCCCACTAAAGCTCAGTGATCTCTAACTTCAAGCCGTTGACTACTAGCAGACAAAAAATAACCACCATGCCATATACCGTACCTGGGCTGTTGAACATATTTGACCAGGAATATTTAAGGTACAAACTACACTGAATGTAGCTCCTATTCAATTCACTAGGCCATGTGTAGGAGATATCAGTGCATAGAACCATAGAAGTAGTCTAGTCAAGGAATTTAAGTAAGAAAGTCTGTGTCTGCAAATCCTTTTTAAGACTCTGAGAGGCATAGTAGTTGGACGTCCATTTCAATCAGCCCCTTCTTTCTCACTGAATCCTATATTTTTTCTGTTGGAAAAAGGTTATGCACAAATAATATATTCAATAACTATTTATATTTGATATCAGAATTTAATACCGCTATTATTAAAGTATGCTTATTTTATACCTCAAAAACTAAAAGATAAAAATAATATTATAGGATTCAGTTGCAAAATACAGAACTATGTTTTTCATCAGCTAGTATACGGACATCACATACAAAGTTAAAGCCTAGCTATTAAGTATTCCTTGCTTCTGTTGGATGGGTGATGGTCAAGCAAACATACAGCACCGAAATTACTCCTGGTCCTAGTCTTACTGCTACATTGGCCAGCATGATTGACTTAGAAGAAAAAAGATACAGTGATGTTAAACACCAAAACATAGTGCTGTTTGTCAGTGTTTACATTATGACCACGTGTGAGGTCTGGGGCAATTGTTCTCCCCTAAAAAAAGGACCTCTTGTCCAAATAAATACTTCTAGGACTGCAGCTGTGGTTAGACAGACAGACATTTATTTCATATAATTTTTATATATATTATTAGGCATGGTTCATCAATTACAAAAACAATAACAGAAAACAACAACAAAGCATTCAAAAAGAATCCATAAATTTTACAACTAGCCCTTCTCTTTCTAAATCATTGATCCATCTAGCCCAGCCATGTCTACTTTGAATGGCACAATTCTCTTTCTCATCACCTGCTGCCTGGTTGCTGAGACATATCTAATGCTGGGATCATAGATTAGAAACCAAATTACTCAGAACTCAAATATTACAAAATCTGCATGGCAATGGGGAGACTCTGTTTAAAATTTTATTTTTAACTCAAATGCCTCCTGACATGAACAAGCATCTGTATAAACTATTGAACATATATCACATGTTTGAAGACATATACATGAAATAAAACATTAGGGCAGCGCTGCAAAGCATGCCAAGGCACCAGAAATAAACACAAGTAATGTTTACGGACAAGTTTGCTAACCATAAAGTTGAACAGTATAGCCTATGACAGGTCTACATTTAAAACCTCTTCAAATAAATATACCAACTAGTATACCCACCAGCGGATTTAGGCCCTACCTGTTTTTGCTGAAACATTGCTGTTAAATGATCACGCAGATCCCCCCCTCAGTAGATTGTAAAAAGCCAAAGAGGCCTGCGGAAGCCTCTGCTAAGCTACATGAGTCCTGGACCTTTAGTGCGGCAACAGTGTACTTTGTGAGACAGCTGATACTGAAAGCACAACAGGAAAATCTACCCTACAATTCCAGGAAAGCCAGCTCCACCTAATCACCTCCGCCAGAGTTTAAGGACTAGAAAATGCCTCCGCAATTGGGTTGCCTTTTGTCACTGACACTAAAGCAAACTTTATCCTTTCTCTTTCAGCATTCAGCAGTTTGGAGTGAGAAAGCAGCGAGGATCAGATTCTCTCACAGTACGTCCATGTAACCCACCCCGACAATGATGGCTTGTAATAAGGGCATTGGGCTTTGCTGCCACATTATTTGAACAAGTGGAAGCTCAGCCTGGTGTGTAATTAATCCAGGGCTGAATAATGGATTTCAGTTCCCATGCCTGTAAGAGGAGACTGACCTGAACCAGCAAAACCTGTCACACCACCAAGAGTTCAAAACTCGATTACTTTCTCATGGAAGATCGAGGCCTACTGGACAAATATCACACGGTCCAGTATTTGACTATTATATTTCTGCTAGTGTATATCTGAAACATTCCTTGCGCAAGTTCATCAGCCAAATGGCACCACAGTAATAAACTGTTTATATTAAAAAATAGACTTCTTTCTCAGTGGTGCCATTTAGGAAAGATGGAAGACTACACCTGACTCTCTCTTAAAAGCACTATAGTAAAGCAGAATATTCTTAAAATTACATTACCCTGGTTTTTTGCATTTAATTTTGAATCTATCCAGGAGTGGGCCTTTGAACTTTGCTGTGAACACCCACCCACCCACCAGTGAAACAGTGTCCCTTCATTTACAAAAAGGAATGGCTAACCTGTTACCCTTCAAATATTGCTGAACTACAATCATCATCCTTGACCATTGGCCATGTTTTCTGAGGGGAGTTAGAATCCAACAACATATGAAGGACCACAGATTCCTTACCTCTAATATATGACAATGGGGTGTATGGGGTGTTACGGGAGGGGAACACGTAGTGATCCTTCTGGCATAGTTTGTCCACCTTTGGTCCCCAACCCTGCACTCGGCTCTTACCTGTGGTTCCCAGAAGCTGTTGGCATGCAACAGCGGCCACAGCCCGAGAACAGCTTCCACTGGCCAACTAAACCAGGTGAGGGTAGCTGATCAGTCTCAGAGCCCTACATATGAGCAAGACCAATAGTGGGCCCAACAGTCAAGAAGGTGGTTACTGTGACGAGCAGGTGGGGCTCGTCCATCTGGAAAGGTAGCCTATCCAAGAGAAGGAAAACTCTGATCCTATACCTTCACTGCCTTGTGGGACATCTCTGGGAGAAGAAAGGACTAAGGAGCAAACCCTACAAAAATCCAGAGTGGAATCCTTAAGACAGTTGGATGGTGTCTTTTACACCTCCTTCCGGTAATTCCTATAGTCAAGCTCTGCTTTCCTTTGGAGGCCAAGAGGGCCTTTTTTGTCATCTGGGTAGCCCAGGACCTCCATACACACTGCCCAGGTTTGTGCCCCAGGGAGATCTCTTCAGTGCTGCTAATGCAGTGGTTTAACTTCACCCCCAGAGGCACACTCCATTGTCTCTCGAAATAGATGGATACCAACAACAATATATGACATAGCCTTGACAGTCCAAGAACTACATGAAAATGTCCCTATATATTTTCTTGCGTATCTTCCTGAGCATTATAATACAGACCAGACGGCTTTCAATGGATGTGTTAAAAGATTCATGTGAAAGTGGAAGCAGCAGGAATGAATTGCTTCCTTGTGTTCCACTTTTCATCTTGCAATGTCTCCTTTTTAAATTGTTGTCACAAAATTAAAAATGCATTAAATGCTTGGAAGAATGGATCCAAAGCAATGTTCCATTTGCTCTTCATTCCAGCAACAAGCTTGCATTTCATTTGTGTTACGGAGTAATTGAATTTCCTTCATTATTTCCTCTCTTATGAGAAAGGCCGGAATTGTGTGACATTGAGACTGCTACAGTTCTCCAGGCTAGATCTCAGCATAGATGCACAATTTAAAAAATAGCCAGTTACATGAAGTAATGAAAATAAAAACAAACAGGGGACAATCAGCAGTAACCTAAACTGCCTGGGTAATAGTAAGAATTGAGACTTAGTCCACCGTTTTCATTCACATTGCATGCACATATAAGGAGTGCAGTGTGAGCCAATTTCTCATAGCACAATCCCATGCCAGTACGAGGAATGTGTGAATTAAACAATCATGGGGCAATTTAATGGGCGTCTATATACAGAGATGCTTTTCCAGCAGAGTGCTAACAGGATGGGGGAAACACAGCATTATCACCCTCCTCATCTTGTTGTTGCCTGTTTCAGGCGCACTCCCCAAAGATGTGGGCTCGCATGACAAGGAAGCAGCTCTCTTCTGCAGTCGTATATGCAAGGCAAGGGCTATCAGCTTTAGACATCATCTGCAATAGAGCATAAAACACAGCAGGGCTTTTGATTCCCCCTGCCATGAGGTTCTCTCAATTCCAACCCAAACATGTATGGTCAAATTTTAACTGTTAAGCACTTTGGGAAACTCATTTTTTTTTGGTACCGAGGATCTATTTTGAGGAAAGGGTTTCCAAAGTAAGTAAAACTATTTACCAAGATGATCAACAAGTCTTTATTCTACCTCCCCAAATGCTCTACGTTGGGCTGCCCTGAAAGGTTCAATTATGGCAACATGGAGAAGCTTGAATGCTCACTGGACAGACAATCGCCACCATGTTACACCACTGCTGTAGGAACACGGGTGGTACTGTGGCCTAAACCACTGAGCCTCTTGGGCTTGCTGAGCAGAAGGTCAGTGGTATGAATCCCTGCAATGGGGTGAGCTCCCATTGCTCTGTCCCAGCTCCTCCCAACCTAGCAGTTTGAAAGCACACCAGTGCAAGTAGATAGTTACCGCTGCGCTGGGAAGGTAAATGGCGTTTCCATGCACTCTGACTTCCATCATGGTGTTCTATTGTGCCAGAAGCAGTTTAGTCATGCTGGCCACATGACCCAGAAAGCTGTCTGCTGACAAATGCCAGCTCCCTTGGCCTGAAAGCGAGATGTGCGTCGCAACCCCATAGTCGCCTTTGACTGGACTTAGCTGTCCGGGGGTCCTTTATCTTTACCTTCTACCACTACTGAACAGAGGCACCATCTTTCAATGGCGATTGGGAGGGCTATGTCACACACATGATGTCTCTACGTCCCAAAGTCTCACACATGAAGTCAGGATGCTGGGAGGAGTGCAGCTCAATGGCCAGTGGCTCCTCCTACACCTCCTCTTGGTGCTGCCCCCAGCAGGAGGCTGCTTCGACCCTCCTTCCCAGCAGCAGCAGCAGCAGCAGACCACTGGAGGCATGCCAAGCTTGGCTCTGTGTTGCAGCTCCACACTTCTGGGATATCCTGAGGTCCTGGCCCCAACCCCAGAAATACAGGGGGGACCAAAAGGGGTTCAGCCCCTAGGAGCCAGCGCCCCTGCTGCTGAAAAAGTTGTAATTAGCTACTGAGCCAAGTTCAGGTGGCTGATACTGGTGTGCAAAGTCCTATACAGCTCGAGACCAGGATACCTAGAAGCTCTTCTCACCCTTTATATACTCAGTGGCAGTGCTTTTTCTCCTTAAAAAATGTTTAGGGGCACTCTCATTTTGACTCAAGAAAACCACTGTTTTATAGTTCAAATTGGGGAAAATAAATACAGTAAATGGACAAAAGCACCAAGATTAACAAAACATTTAGGGGTATGCGTACCCCCAAGAAAAAAGCACTGCTCAGTGGTTTACTACACTCCACAACAGACGGCCTCCTACAGATACCATCTTATGAGGAGGTCTGCTCTGCACAATATAGAAATTGGGCCTTCAGTGTGGTGGCACCTGCCCTTTCCATTTGAAGCGGTAGGGTCTGTTGTCTGTCTGGCTCTTACTGAAGACCGTTCTCTTCCAGCAAACGTTTTAAGTGGAGATCTTTATTTTGGTCTGCATCTGTACTGGAACTATTTTTAACTGCCTTAAAAAAACATCTGGAACTGCTTTTAATTGTTTTCACACCTTTTTGCTTTAGTTACAGTCATATTCTATAACCAAGTACTTTATAGTTGTAACCCACCCTGGGACCTTATGGAAATCTAATAAATTATTATAAATAAACTACAAACGCTTCTACAGTATACAGTTGGAAAAGGGTCAGGGGTTTTTCACCTAAGGGCTGATTTCACCTGCTACTTTTTTGGTGTGAACCTAAAATGTTTAAAGTGTAGGAGTGGCCAACATTTGTTTGTGAACATTTATTTAAATACAGATACACTTACCAATAGATACAAGCACTGATTGGCTACAACCACACGTCACATATAAAACTGATAGAAAATCCAGATTTCCCTTTGCATAGTGTGCAAAACAGCACAAAATGAATTCAAACGAAAGCAATATGGGAAAAAGAAGCCCATAAAAAAGGGACTCTGTTGTAAATAATACTGTATTAAAGTTCCCAAAATGATCCAAAACCCAGATTTTCTATAGAATTACACATACTTATTAATCTTGCTGAAGAAACCTGTGCATTATATCTGATGCAGAAAGATACATTAGTGATCGTGCCAGAAAACACTAGATTTTCTTTGTTTAGGAGACAACGATCTTTCAAAGTTAGCCAACAAAAAGCCCCATTTCCTTACAAAATATTAAATGAAGCCACTCATCTTCTTTAAAAAGAAAAGAACTACACACAACTTCCTTTTAACTTATTGTATAAGCTTTGTTTTTCTGCATTTCTGTCTGCTGACTGCAGCTATTTGTTCAGTAACTGGGTTTTCCTTACTACTTAGGAACAAAACCAAAAGAGTGTTAACTCTTTTGTACTTTGCTATTAAGGCCTGAATTCCAGTTTGACCGCTTGAAAGGTAGGGAAGTGAACAGAGCATTACCGTTGAACAGGATAACAGGCTGCTCATTTGCAAAAAGGATATGAGGAAAAGCATTGTGCATCTGAAGGACTCTAAGAAGCAAGGTGATTCATATTCCTGACTCATTTACAGTTGACCATGAATTAAAGAAAGGTACTAGGATTCTAATTTAGCTTGACATTTGTACACAGAAGAGATTTCTGTGAACTTGTGCAAACAAAGCACATTCAGAATTGAGGCATTCTATGTCATTTCAATTATTCATTTAATTTATATTCACCTTTCTATGAAAATGTACCCAAAGCAACTAACAGCAACAACACACATACAAAATGGCAATTATAAAAATAGCACAATATAAAAGCAGAGAAAGTAAGAACAAGTGAAAAAAATATGCCAACATTGGCTAGCACCAATACACGCAAAACTACAGCAGGGATACATAACTACGTTTGCAGGATCTCATTTGGCCCCTAAAATTGGCAGGCACCTCCTCCCTGTTAAATATAACATACATTTTATCCTATGATGTCGAGTCATGGCCAAAGGGTTCTTCTCACATGTGAATAGCAGCATAATCCTACTAGAGGTCTTTGCCAAAGCCTTGGTTGATAATTAAACTGGGAGAGATGGGCTCAGGACTTGACACTGAGAATGAGTTGACAGTGCCAACATTGCTGGCCCTTCAACACTTGATGAGTTCAAAACATTAACTACTAAAACAGGGGTGGGAAACATTTATTTTTTTAACCTACTAAGTGTCACATTCCCTTGGGGAAAATCTGTTAGGGTCCACATGCCAGTGG